TTATTGAATTTGTTCACATTTATCAACAAATGCGTTTTACCAAACAAAAATGTATACAAAAGATTCCTAAAACTGAAATGATTCAAAGTGCGATATGATTTGAATGCAATAAAAAACGTTTTAAGGAAATAATCCAGTATAAGGTACATTGTATGCTCTGGACCTTTCGTATTGAAAGCCAAGTAATAAAAGTAAACATCCCAAGGATCTTATCAAAACAATAAAAAAATGTCCAAATTCTAGTTTTTAAAAAGAATGTATTTTTATCTCAGTTACATTTCCTAATGAAGTGGAAACTTACAAACAAAATGTAGCATATGAATATTTTCTTTCCATACAAGTTTTTCTGGATCCCAGCGTTACCCCAGTTTAAGAGGAAATTTGTATTGCTTAAAGCTAAGGACTTTTAGATTTGCAACAGTACTTTACCGATGTAAAACAGTCGAAACTTAGGATTCAGATTTTAATCAACCGATGTTGGTCCCAGTGACAGTAGATAATTAAAATACTGACATGATATTAGCTCTGATGACTCCTCGATCTGATAGTTTGCGAATAAATCATACATAGTTCGATTTCCTTGTAGACTGCTACTTGCAGGTTGTTGGTTTTTTTTTCAGTGTAAAATATTTCATTTTGATTTAGAATAATAACATATCCACGGCTAATCAACTTGGTTTATGTCAACAAAGATGGTCGATCTAATCGAGATACCTGAAAAAGGAAAGGTGATAGGCACTGTCTAATAATGAATAATGAATTCAATGAATGCCGCATTCTGATCAGACGTTACTGTGTACGAAAATGTCAAACAGACACTCTCTCCGAATAGTAATTTTTCGATATTGAAGAAATCAAAGTGACCATAATTATGATATACATATGTGACCCTTGTGTGTGTATGTAGTACTCATCGGTTTACCCTTGTCCTTAAAATCCACAGCGTAAACTTCTCTTTTTTTTCATCACCGTCTTTGTATAAACATAAGGAGATGTACCAACTATCCACCAAAGTTCAAATAAAGTGGATGTAAGCAATTATAGGCAACCGTACGGCCTTCAACAATGAGAAATCGTGATTATTTGAATTTCTGAATCTAAAGGCCAGATCTCATCTTGAAAATTTTTCCACTATCAGCTTCCAATGATACTTTCAACTTATGGAATTTTTTTCCTGAAATGTTACCATAGTTATCATTATGGTACGATATGGTACAATATTTACCGATAAAAGATATTCGTTTACCAAAATATAGACCATGTGCAATTTTTAGTACAAAACGTTAGAATTGCATATACAATAATACAATTAAAGCAATTGACAGCAATACATAAAATAATCGTGTTTTCTATTTTTATTTTAGGTACTTTGACATTACCAGAGAATGTAATATTGACTTTAGGTCTTTCATTTTATTTCAATGAACAAATTGTAATACGAAGCTTTTGATTGTAATGTTAACCTCACTACTACAATTGTATTGTTATTTGCTATTATCACTTTAGATCTAAATAATGAATTAGTGCTCGCTTGAAATATAATTACAGTTTTATAACATATAAATGCTTGTTTGTATATAAACCAGTTGAGTAATGATACCTCAAGTCTTCTTTTTCAAGTAACTGTAATGAAAGGGGTATTGATATGCAATTTATTTAATTTTTCTTCTTACTTGAGAATCTAAATTTGGTTACTATTTTAAGGTCATTCTACTATTATATAGCCATGTACATTGTTGAAATTTTGAAATCCGTAGATCTTAAATTTGTGGCTTGCATAAAATCCCTACTGCTACTTTCATTTTTTTAATTAAGATTAGATAATAGGAACAAACAAAAAATGTCAATCTATGAATGATACCAATGCAAGTTACAGCAATTTTCTATCAAGTTGCATTTGATTTATTCCGTTACACCTAAAAACATATACCACAGATACAGTAATTGTTCAAGTCGCTCCATACATTGTACATTGATTTTCATAAAAAAAATTATTATGAAGATCAGTTGACAACTAGACGATGACAAAAAAGATAATTCCCTTGATACAGTGTCAGAAAAAGCTATGATATCAAGTGTGTAAGGTTAAGGTCATCTCACCGTCAGTGCCAACGTGAGCAATTAACCTGTTTTTGCAACACTGTTGACTAAACATATGTTCCAATTATTAAAGCAAGAATCCCGTTTTCTTTATATTTTAATTTTATATATTTAGTGTTTTATGCATTGACGTTTTTATTTAGATCACATGAACCAAAGGGCCAAGTGAATTTTTCTCATTACTTTGCGTCCGTTGACCGTTGTAGTCCGTCGTCATTTCTATTAACAACTGTGATACAACAGGGCCAACTTTTACCATTTGTTCAAACAAGGCCACAATCATCATTGGATTATCTAGTTTTAAAAATAAGCCTGACGACCCGCAGGCCAACCAAGATGGCTGACATTGCTAAAATATAACATAAAGGTCAAATTCAAATTTGGCTATTATTTTGATAACCATTGTACAAAAGGAACATCTGACAGGAGAAAAAATGTCCAGAATGTTGAGATCTACAAATTGGTCACTTACTGAAGCTGTTGTAACGTGTTAAACTCCATAAAGCCTAGTCAGTAAGAATACATTTAAATTAAATCTAAAATTTCTTAATACTGTTTGCTTCAAACAGAGAGAACAAAATTCCAATACCATTAAACCTACCGATATTATTATACCTGATGCGCATTTCTACAAAACATGTCCATTCAATGATGGGCTAACATATTTGAAAATCCAAATCTTATTCAAAAATATATGACGTAATAAAACCAATAGGTACAAGGTTCCGAAAAGCCGGACAAGGCAGTTACAACAGACTTTAGGGATCTTAAGACTGACCACCACGATACCTATCAAACTGGAGATACACCCCGGAAAAGATAATCCTTTGTGTAACTATTAGCATCCGTCACGATCAATTGTAATGAGATTTTTTAACCAGCTGTTTTAATTAGATGTAGATTAAATGTTGTTTAAGGACATACTCCAACATCTTCAATCCCAATCAATACAATGTTGAACCTGTATCAAAACTTTGGATTTTTGTACGCTCTACACTTTCATTAATAAGGTGAAAAATCGACGACATCTTTTACAAAAAAAATGGCTCCTGCTTACAAATCTTTGTTTGAGCTCTCGCCATATCTTACTTTGTGAAATACCACACCGATTCCAACAAACAACTAAAATTGTGTGATTTAGTGGTTATCGTTTGTTGTTGTATCTTGTCAATAGACTGCATAGATTTTAAATGACCGCAAGCAATTTTTCTGAACTATAATGTCATTAATGATCAAACGCAGTGGATATATATGAAACTGTATTAAAAGACTAAATATAACTTAATAGTTTACTGGGCAGTCCTTTCTGGTATTGCAAAAATAGTTCATTTTTAAACTTTAATATACTGGAAAAAAATACACCTATAGTGGGTATCAATAAAAAAAAAAGAAGGAATATGTGTACAAATAGGAAAAGTTTGTTCATTTAAACCTAAATGGTCACATTTTCGCGATATTAAGCTAAAAGATCCTAACCTCAAGTATATCATCAATTCAAACAAGAAGAGAAAAAAAGGAATTCTCTGAGATATATTCAGTAGAATGCTACAAAGACGATTTGATAACAAGCATATACTGAAAATGATGTTAAAAAAAAGTTTAAATATTTGTACGAACAACTGTATATACAAAATGGCGTTAATAATGAATCGTTTGATATGTATTTTTTTGCATTTATGAGTGAAAAAATGTACCTTACATGATTTATCTTTTTCAACACTGTATACAACAGAATTATTTTCTAAATTGTAAAACATTAGTTTCAAGATATATTATATATATGTTTTTTTTTTCTTTCATAATAGAAAATCTAATACTGACACCATGTTTTTCCAGTTTGCCTTCACAGGATGTGTCTTTTGAAAAACTAGTAGGTGGTAGTAGTCAATTATATAATAAACATGAGAGTAGAAAAATCAGTTAAAGCCCAAAGTTTGTTTTTAAAGCCATAGGTTATAACTTACTTCGTTGGTTACTTGTAAAACAAAATTATTTTTATACTAAGAACATTCTCTTTGTGAGATGATTCCAGTAAACATCTGATTCTAATATTTATTTGGTAATGTTGTAATTTGACAATCGGCTACGACACTTATATATAACTTGTCTTCATCAAATAATGATAAACAGTATAAAATGCTTCAAACGGGGAAATTATTTACGAAAATCTTTTCGTCCTTGTATGCGAATCCGGTAAGAGTCTTTGCACGCTTCTCCACCTTGACACCGAGTTGATGCAAACTAGATTAACGGGTTTGAATTAAATCTTGCAAGTAATCTGAAGACATAACAGAGATGAAATACTAACGTATTTATTGCTAGTTATTGTTCCTGATTAAATAAACTCAGCATAGATACCCGAATTTAAATTTGGATCGTCAATCGCGCGTTTTGTTTTTGTTTGTTTGTTTTGTTCAGGTATCATTGTCAATATAATGGAACTTCATGCGACTGTCATACAAGTGAGAGATTTAGCTGGTTATAAAACCATGTTCGATCCACCATTTTCTACATAAGAAAATGTCTGTACCAAGTCAGGAATATGACAGTTGTTATCCATTCGTTTGATGTGTTAGAGCTTTTGATTTTGCCATTTGATAAAGGACTTTCCTTTTTAAATGTTTCTAGGTGTTCAGTATTTTCAACATTCAACATTCTGACTGTCGTGATAATTCGATTTGTTTATGAAATCAGTTCTTTTATAGTTTTTTTTTATTATTATTCAATATTCGGCTCTTTGAACTTGTTGAATAAAGCATCTCAATATTAGTAATCAAGTGAACTGGGGAAATATTATAAACCGTTACGTATTTTCGTGTACTAAAACCTGTATTGTTTCTTTAAATTTTAAATTGTACGACCCTAGTATTCAAATATCATGAATTTATAAAAAGAAACCAAAAATTTCAAAAACATTTAATGAAATATGACTTTTAATATGCATTCTTGGAGGCCACGGCGCATTACATCTTTACTTTCCACTCATCATTGTTGAGTTTGCAGCTGGAACCTCCAACATACATTTAAATATTGCATGAAGGAGTCTGTTGATCACCCATATCTTCAGGAATCTGTAATATAAAATATGTTTGATAACACCAAGTGTGGACTCACATGTAAATTAAGCGAAGTATGTGTGATTTATAATTCAAATCGTATTCACGATTTGGTCATTATACTGTTTTGTATTTGACCAGTTTTATGATTAAGCGATGATTTTTGACAACTATTGGAACTTAACTGACATGAGTTGTTTATCAGATCAGATAATTTGTGGAATGCTTTGTTGTATTTGTCTGAAATTTGTTTTGACGCTAACGATTTTCTTTAATCCCTCGGAAGACTTACATTCAATTTGACATACAGAATTCAGTTTTTTATTATTATGAAAGTATAGTACCGGTATTGTGTTCCCCTTCTTTACTGCATTATATATTTCCTTTTCGTCTAGCCAATCAATCTGCATCTGCCTGTCTTTAGAGGCGTTCATAGAACTACCAAAACATTTTCAGTAACTTCTTTTCTTTTGTAATCGGCTCTACGTTCGAAGGTCTGGAAAATATTTTAAAAAAATGTAAAGAGTTAATTTAACCATTGCAACAAAAGGACATTTACCACTTAAGGAGGCTCGAGGATACAAAAAATTCAGAAAAAGTTAAACATTTTTTTTTTTCATTACAAATTTTATTCATTACTTTATTAGTTGTAACTTTATCATATGGTACAAAAATCATCCATAAAAATCAATTCGTTTTGGCCCAAGATGACTTTTAAAATGTAATTCTCATTAAAGAAACCTCCAAATTATCTCCCTTTGGTGCAAAAATGCGAATGTTTGGCATTTAATTGAAATATCTGTTTTAACTCATCGGTTTTTTTTATTCATTTTTTCAAAAGAAGTTGTACTTAATCTAAACTTTTGTAAAATTTGAGCGATTTCTGTAATTAAGCGTTTTTTTTATTTCGATATTACCTCTTTTTCTCCTATAAGTTCAAGAGAAAAAAGTACCTCTACAAAAATGTATGTTTCTTTCAAAGGCAGAGATTGTGAGCTTAAATGAACGGTGACCCCATTTTTTTATTTTATTTTTCTATTTAACATATGATAAAGTTAATTTATAGAAAAATATAGCGAAATCCTATATAAAAAAAAAATGACTTATACCCGCGAGCCCCCTTAATATGTGTTTTTAACATAAACGAAAAGATTTAAAAGGATACAGTACAATAAGTAATATGCGTTGTCATTTTCTACTGTGAAATATGTACATGTACCAACTTGTAGTTAATATTAACAAGGATTTGTATGTATCAATTACAGTAGTAAACCCTTGATACTACGCAAGCGTTTCCATCGATGAATAAACAACAATTGGTCAGGATGCAAAAGGTTGGTCAAATCATCTTCTCTAAAGAAAATTACATATTAATTTTAATGGATATATGATCTCAAGTAAATAAAATTTAGTTCGTTGTCCGTTCATGAATATTCATGACATGTGACCATTCGTTTGCACTTAAAACCCGTGCGGTCATCTTTCTGACCATCGACTCTCGCTATAGCCTAAAGAAGAGACACGTGTATTCACGGATGATTTAATGTATATTTGTATTTGTAATTATGATTACTATAATTATCATGTTTGTATTTGATACATAAGATATAGAATTAAAGGTTATAGCGAGTAGCGCACCTACATTTAATCTTTTGTTCTTTGTTAAGGCCATAGAATATAATTACTTTATATTCGGACGAACGTAGTGAGGGAGAACATAAAGGATGTGCTATTTGTCAGACTGAGTATGTTTGTTAAATACATATAGATATAAGATACTCAGGTATATATTGTGATTAACAAATTTTCATTTTACAAAGAAAAGGGTAGATTGATTTGATTTTCTATTCTGCTCTGTTTCCAAGTTCTAATAAAAACTAATTTTCATTTCGGTTACACAACAGATACAGATGGAGCTTGGGAAAAAATTGATCTGTTTTATACATATTCTTACATCTTTCACTGGTTGTGGCATATTCTTGCCACCGGAGCCTTTCATTTCCTTAAGATTAACGGGGTCAACATTATTGTGGTTCTCGTCGTCTGTCTTATGATCTTGTCCAAACATAAACAAAGTAATACAATGTTGTTACCATAACATGTAAATATTTGAAATGGTTTTTTTACAAGCATCATTCGTCAATCGGAACTAGACAAACAGTTGTTGTCTGCTCTATGGTCGGGTTGTTGTCTCTTTGACACATTCCCCATTTGCATTCTCAATTTTATTTTAGTCTGATTATTAAGCTGTGCTAATTGTCAATATATTTGTTAAAACATATAGATGTAAAACGCTCATGTAAATAGTGTTCTTAAAATGTTTTCATTATACAGAAAAAAGTATTGTTGATTTGATCTACCATTTTGCTTTGTTTCCAAATTCTATTCTAAACCTTTTTTGTCAGACCCAAATAATAATTACGCTTGTAAAAATTGTATATTTCTAAGATATACTGTTACATCTCTGACTGGGTTTTCATTATAAAGAAAATGGTAGGGTAGATTTGATTTACTAAATCGCTTTTTTTCTCAAATTATTTTATAAACAATTTTTTTTTTCGGTTGAAAAACAGATAAAGGAGGTGCTTGGTGAAAATTGGATCGGTTTAAGATATACTCTTACATCTTTCGCTTGTGGCGAATTCTTGTCACCAGATCCCTTCATGTCCTCAGGGTTCACGGAATCAACTCTCCTCTGATTTGTAAAACCATTGTATCCAAGGTTGTTGTCGTCTTTTTCATGATCTTGTCCACTCTTAAAAAAGTAATACAATGTTGTTACCATAACATACTGGTATTTAAATTGTTTTTTTATTACAAGCATCATTCGTACTTGGAACAAGACAAACTGTTTTAGCTTGAGTATTGAGCTGTGCTATTTGTCAGTATGTTTGTAACATACATTTAACATATAGATATAAATGATCAGGTAAAAAGTGTGCTGAACATGTTTTCATTATACATAGAAAAGGGTAGTGTGGGTGTGGATTTGATATACCATTTTGCTTCGTTTCCAAATTCTATTTAAAACTGTTTTTGTTACAAAACAAATAATGATTGCACTTGGAAAAATTCGATACTTCCAAGATATACTCTTACATACTTGACTAGGTTTGTATTATTTAAAGAAAAGGGTTGTTTTAATTTACTGTTTTGCTTTTTTAAACTAAGTTTTATTTCGGTTATAAAACAGATAATGATGGCGCATGGAGAAAAGTGGATTTGTTTTAGATTTACGCTTACATTGTTCTCTTGTAGCAAATTCTTGTCATCAGAGTCTCTCATGTTTGCAAGGTTAAAAGGTTCAACTTTCCTCGGATTCGTCAAACCACTGCATCCAAGGTTCTCATCGTCTGTCTCACGATCTTGTCCAAACTTTAAAAAGTAATACAATATTGTTACCATAACATGCTGGTATTAGAATTAAATTTTATCACAATCATCATTCATCCTTCGGATCTTGACAAATTGTAATAGCTTGAGTATTGAGCTATGCTTATGCTATATGCCAGAGTGTTTATGAAATACTAATAACATATAGATGTAAACTGCACAAGTATATAGTGTGTTTAACAAGTTTTCATTATACAAAGAAAAGGGTAGGATTAAATTGATTTACCATTTTGCAGTGTTTCCAAATTCTATTATAAACTAAACAAAATGTCGGTAAAACAACAGATACTAATGGCAATTGGGAAAAAGTGGATCTGTTTAAAACATATTCTTACATCTTTCACTGGTTGTGGCATATTCTTGCCACCAGAGCCATTCATGTCCTTACGATATCCGGTACCAACATTCTTGTGGTTCGTCAAGCTACGGCATTCAAGGTTCTCGTCGTCTGTCTCACGATCTTGTCCAATCTTAAACAAAGTAATACAATGTTGTTACCATAACATGCACATATTTAAATTGATTTCTTTACAAGCATCATTCGACAATCGGAACTTGACCAACTGTTAAACCTTGAGTATTGAGCTGCGCTTATTGTCAGTATGTTTGTAAAATACAAATAAAATATAGATGTAAAATGGTCAGGTATATAGTGTGCTTATCGTGTTTTCATTATACAAAAAGAAAGGGTAAGGTTGATTTCATTTACTGTTTTTCTTTGATATTAATAACTTGTTTTTATTTCGGTTGGACAACAGATAATGATGGCGCTTGAAGAAAATTAAATTGGTTTAATATATACTCTTACATCTGTCAATTGTGGCAAATTCTTGTCACCAGAGCCCTTCATGTCTTCAGGGTTCACGGGATCAACTCTCCTATGGTTTGTAAAACCACTGTATCCAAGGTTCTTGTCGTCATTTTCATGATCTTGTCCACTCTTAAAAAAGTAATACAATGTTGTTACCATAACATACTGGTATTTTAATTGTTTTTTATTACAAGCATCATTCGTACTTGGGAACAAGACAAACTGTTTTATATGGAACGCCAAAACTGTCTTGTAATGACTATTTTCATTATATGATGTGCATTTACCTTTATATGATGTCCAAATATCCTTATATGATGTGCAAACATCATTATATGATGTGCAAACATCATTATATGATGTGCAAACATATTTATATGATGTGCATATATACTTATATGATGTACATATAAACTTATATAATGTGCAAACATTCTTATATGATGTGCAAACATTCTTATATGATGTGCAAATATACTTATATGATATGCAAATATACTTATATGATGTGCAAATATACTTATATGATATGGAAAGATCCGTATATGATGTGCAAATATCCTTATATGATGTGCATTTTCCCTTATATTATGTGCAAGCATCTTTATATGATGTGGTTGTGTCATTATATAATGTGCTATTATTTTATATCATGTGGTTCGGTTAACTTCATTATATAATGTCGAAACGTCATTATATGATGTGCGTTCATCGTCGTTATGGTCAATGAACATGGTTACGATTAGAATGATTATTGTGTACGTCATAACTTATTCCTATCTGCTTCTGCGGAGTTACTATAATGCTGGTTCAAATCTGTTGCTTTCGCAAGCGAGAGTGCATTTTAAATATAAAGTGAGACAGTGCAATTTAACAAAAATTAACGTTTCAAACATTTTGAAGGAAGATTAAGATCAATTAATACAGGAGCTAGTTGAACAATTTCTCGGCTAAGGCGAAAATATGACATCAAAATGTTGTAGGCCCTGTTTATAGCTTCCGGTTCGGTTTGAGCAAACGATCAAAGAGACAACAACCCGACCATAGAGTCAGTTTTGAAAATATTTCTTAACGATAGCTACAAAGTTATCCTCTCTTGCATATATAATTATACCGGTATGGATGATTGGTTGATTAATGTGTTGATTGATTGGTCTTTAACGCCACTTTCAACACTATCATGTTATTTCGTGGTAGAGTGTTTATATTGATGGAGAAAGCCGTAGTCACCGGAGAGAACCAC